ACATACTCAACTACCTGTAAACGAAACATTAGAGTACAAGTCATCCTAGTTTTATTTCTATCATATCTATATTGAAAAAGGCTGTATATTCTTGTTTGTTTAACGTTTAATGTTGTATTTTATGTTTTATGCCATTTATTTTACTAAAATAGCCACTAGTTTCTTTAAATAATATAAATTATACTCTGGGTTTCACAGAGAGTTTTCATTTGTTTAGTAAATAGTTTATATGTAAATATGAAATATATATTTCCATTCATATATTTAAAATCTGACAAAAATTAATAAACTTAATACTTTACATAGATTTCGTTTTACTCAAAAATCAACGTAGCTCCGAATAAGTATCATGCATATTCGTTAATATCACAAACATCTCAATTAGATCAGAAACTACCATGTTTACAATTAAGAGAACCAAAATATTTATAATCTATATAAAACACTTATGGAAGCACCATGTTCCAGATATGTTGATTTCGAGAATGTTCTTCTATATTTTTTGGGGAGTAGTTTGAAAAAAGTAATTGTACAACAATACTTTATCTTTATCAGATAGTTACCCAATGGACCAGCGGTAAGTTTACAGCAATGCTGAAATCCGAAAATTGATTCCCCGCGGTGGACGTAGCACATATAGCCTAATGTGTAACCTTACGCTAAAACAAATCATATATTAGTTATATTATATAATGACATGTTAACAGAAATATGATGCTAATTAACTAATTAGAAACAGTACAGAAACGAGTTCTGGGTGTTTATGAAGACGGTTGACACATGGAGTAACACAGAAATCCTTGTAAAAACTAAACTTGAATATACAGGTATGCTATTTCTGACATAAACATCGTTCAAAGACTGGAAGTTTGTAAAGAACAAAAGCTGATCTAGAATCAATGTCCTTTTCCTGGTGACTGGCTATTTGTTAGAAAAGTTCGGAAGGGGACAGATCCAGCCAGAAAAAATATACAGCACTTTGAGATAGTATTCTCTGTAAAATTGAATGCTAGTGTTTCAACTTTAATGATCTCCCACGTTCCTCCTAGGAGATTTCTTTACGACTTTCTGGGATATTAATTTGAGAACGAAAAACTATTTGTCTGAGTTAATGAAGTGTTTCGCGGACTTTCCCATCTTGGGGGTTTTACGTTGTTTTGTTTGTTATCCATATCTGTCTTATGCCATCTCGCAAATTCACATATAAGTTTGAAACATTTGTTTTTTGATAAACGACTATTACTTGCATTATAAGAGATATCATAGATGCGTTTCAACTGATTCGGTTGAATGCTTACCTACAATAAGTGCGTATTTTGAACTAAAACGGCGCTTTTAGATCTCTATCTTCCCGCCCCCAAGTATCACAGTGGAATGTCTGCGGATTTACAACGCTAGAAACCGGGTTTCTATACCCGTAGTAGGCAGAGCACAGTGAGCTCGTTGTGCTGCTATGTGCTTAACTTCAAACAAATAAAAATTCCCATTTACTTTACTTATCATAGAATATAACTCATTGAATCCTTAGTTTAAAGGTTAACATAAAACTTACAGTTATATCAAGAGGCATAAACTTGTAAGGTGAAGATATGGCGCAATCAGTAAATGAAACCACGGCGCTAAATTGAATATGAGGTTCGCTGATGCAAGTAAATACTTCAATTCAGTTATATCATTCCAAAACCTTGTTTTTGGTATAGTCTCCCATACTGTGTTTCGATTTCTTTGAAATTATATATAACGACTTACACAAAAGAAAAGTTTTATAAAGGTGCCGTTCATACATCCGTAGAAATTTTAAATCATTTCAGTTTTTATAATCAAATAAATAATATATTTAATCGTGAAAGGATAGCCTTGTATAGTGTTGACCTTTAAGTCGGGACTAGTTTGTGACTTTAATTGTACTTGTTTTTTTATTTAAGAAAGATAATCGTGATCTATGTAACTGAAAAAAATAATACTAATCGTTTACTTATTAAAGTAAACTGGGTTGTAATATGCCCTTTGTCGCAAATGAATCGCTTAGCCGTTTATCTTATAATTATTCTAGACGCTATTGTAATAGGCATGAACTTGCAATAAGTACGTCTTTCTACTTTCAATGACATTTCTGTTCGACATAGTACTTTCGAATGGTCTTTTGTTAAAGATTATAACAGTTACCAATGTTTTAATTGCTTGTAATTAAGCACAAAACTACATAATGGGCTATCTGTGCTCTGGTTTATATCATTGTAAATCCGCAAACATACCACTGTGTCAGTGGGATACTGTTTTAATGGTCTTTGGTTAAAGATTATAACATTTATCATTGTTTTAATGGTATTTGGTTAAAGATTATAATATTTATCAATATTTTAATGGTATTTGGTTAAAGATTATAACATTTATCAATGTTTTAATGGTATTTGTTTAAAGATTATAACACTTATCAATGTTTTAATGGTCTTTGGTTAAAGATTATAACATTTATCAATATTTTAATGGTATTTGGTTAAAGATTATAACATTTATCAATGTTTTAATGGTTACCATTAAAACATTGATAAATGTTATAATCTTTAACCAAAGACCATTAAAACATTGATAAGTGTTATAATATTTAAACAAATACCATTAAAACATTGATAAATGTTATAATCTTTAACCAAAGACCATTAAAACATTGATAAGTGTTATAATCTTTAACCAAAGACCATTAAAACATTGATAAGTGTTATAATCTTTAACCAAAGACCATTAAAACAATGATAAGTGTTATAATCTTTAACCAAAGACCATTAAAACATTGATAAGTGTTATAATCTTTAACCAAAGACCATTAAAACAATGATAAGTGTTATAATCTTTAAACAAATTTTGGTTAATGATTATAACATTTATCAATGTTCTTTAATCAAATATTATATGTTATCAACGTTTTAATTGTCTTTTATCAGAGAATATAACAATTATTAATGTTCTAATGGTCTATGGTTAAATATTTTAACAATTTTCAATGTTTTAAGGGTCTTTGATTAAAGATTACAACAGCTATTTATATTTTATTGAGCTAAAGTTAAAGATTATATTAAAATTATGACAGTTATCTATATTTTATTGATTTATAGTTAAAGATTATATACAAATTATGAAATTTTTCTACATTTTAATGATCTCTGATTAAAGATTCTAACAGCTATCTATTTTAATTCCTAAAGTTGTTTAGCATTAGAAACTGTTTCTAAATTTTAACATATTTTTGAACCCTTTGTCTTCTATATAAATGTTGGCATGATAAAAACTAAATACGTTTAGTAAGGAAACAAGTTTCACAACTTCGTAACTATAACATCTTATAGCCAAGGACGTGTTTTGGTGGAAAGAAAAAGGTTTAACATTATTATTTTATGAGATAGCATTGTTCACGTTTCAAAAGTATCATCATTTATCGTTTTAACAGTTAAGAACCAACATTTCTAAAAAATATATTTTACCACTCTTTTTTTTTCCAGCTCAAATAAAAAATTAATGTGCGTAAACAGATATTCTTAATGATAAAAGTAGTTGTTTTATTTCTATTAAATTTCGTTTCTTTATCCTGTAATTTGTACTAAGTGTGTTGCGGGAAATTGTACTTTATCAGATCAAGAATACAGGTTATCATTCTTGTACTTTACCATACGTTGTTAACATGTACGTGTTAAAAAAATCTCTGGCGACACTACTATGTATTGCTTTATCTATATTGATAAAAGTTCTAAACTTTGTTGTCTAAGATCCTCCGTAATGTTAAAAACGTATCGCAAAAACATTTAGGAAAATCTTTGAACCTTTCGATTTTCAGACAATGTTTGTTTGTTTTGAATTTCGCGCAAAGCTACACGAGGGCTATCTGCGCTAGCCGTCCTTAATTTAGTAGTGTAAGACTAGAGAGAAGGAAGCTAGTCATCACCACCCACCGCCAACTCTTGGGCTACTCTTTTACTAACGCATAGTGGGATTGACCATCACATTATAACGCCCTCACGGCTGAAAGGGCGAGCATGTTTGGTGGGACGGGGATTCGAACCCGCGAGTCGAGCGCTCTAACTACTTGGCAATGCCGGTTCATTTTCAGACAAGGAAACATCTTCACGAAAATCGTAAATGTGCTAATAAAGTACGCTTTTAAAACAATAAAGAATATTTTTGATATTATGTCAGTAATATACCTTATTTCTACATTTGTTTGAGTTGACGTTATAATATTTTTTAAACGTACAATAAAATTAATTATTATTATCATATTTGTATTTCTATAAATACTATAGCTTTAAGAATTTTTTTTTAAAAACCTCTCCGATAAGAAAAAGAAAAATCATTTATCAATACGTGGCCTGTTTTGCCAATTTTCTATTCGAAATGCCCCCAGTGGCACAGCGGTATGTCTGCAGACTTACAACGATAGAATTCGGGTTTCGATACCCGTGGTGGGCAGAGCACAGATAGCCCATTGTATAGCTTTGTGCTTAATTACAAACAAACAAACAAACTATTCGAAAATGGCTCTAACCTCGAATGCTCTCTTAAGTAGTATATATATTAAGTGTTTGTTGTTTATACCGTACCGAAATGTTATAGTTTTCACCGTCGATCCTGTCCCGTTTTAGCTGTTTGATTGCTTTACTTCATAATGTGCCTTTAGTTTTTTCATGTCCAACTTGAATGTTGTGCAAGCAAAATAAATTAAGATACTGTCCGTTAATCCCGTTAAGTAAGTTAAGTACCATTTCAATATAGTATATTTCTTCATTTATGAGTGATAATATTCATAATTTTTAAGTTTCGCATGTTTTCGTTTTTATTATTATAGCAATTTATATAATAATAAGACAAAAAACCTATTTAGAATTACTATGAATGGTTTGCATAATGCAGAATACATTCTGTAAACGTAAGATTATTGTTTAACAATTCATATTATCATTTTTGGATAATAAAACTTCAATAAAAACACGTTATTCTTTTTATTGCAGAGCTTATTTTGAATTGAAGCATCATGCAGTGCTTGCGGGGATCACGTGGGATAATGGTTCTTCTCTTCTACATTCTATGTTTGTGGACAGAGGTCTCAGCCATGTGCCCCATGCGATGTAAGTGTGACGATCAAAGTCTACGAGTTTTATGTGCTAATGCCAACCTAGACGTAGTCCCCATTACCTTGAATCCAGAACTTCGTGAACTTATTCTAAACAACAATCACATTAAAGGTATAATGTCCTCCTTTAGTGTATACCATAACTTGGAATACCTGGATGTCTCACACAATCAGTTGGTAGATCTGGGAGAATACAATTTCAAAATGCAGGGTCGTCTAGAATTTCTTCTATTAAGTAGTAACATGATCTCTTCAGTTCACAACCACTCTTTTGTTGGTCTACAGCAGCTGAAAGTGCTGCATTTAAATGAGAATTTTCTAGAAGACGTACCGTCAAGAGCGTTTGTGCATTTGCCTAACTTAGAAACACTAGATCTCTCACGAAATAGAATAATCTCCATTTCGGAAGACGCCTTTGAGGGACTCGAAAACATCCGTGGTCTGTTGCTAAGAGATAACAAACTTAATCGCATTCCATCTGCTGCATTTCAGAACGTTCCTACGTTGTTAAAACTAGACTTTGGGTTGAATACAATACGAGAAGTTTCGGAAGGAGCATTTGCTTTCCTCAGACAGCTAGAAGAGTTATCTCTAGACGGATGTGGTCTTCGGACAATAGATATTAAAGGATTTCAGCAGTTAAGCTCTCTTCTTGTCCTAAAACTTCACGATAATGAACTTCAAGAGATTCCCACATCAGCACTGCGTAATGTCAATCGTTTAGAAGAACTTAATATAGGCCAAAATAAGTTTAAAGAACTTAAGCCTCGTTCCTTCCAAAAGCTTAAATATCTTAGAATAATCCAAATCAATGGCTCTCCAATGTTTACCAGCATTCGTAAAGATTCTTTGTTTGACAACATTAATTTACAGAAATTTATTATAGCTCATAACAAAAATTTAAATCATATTGACTCGCATACCTTTGATGGTCTTCCCAATTTGAGATACGTAAGCTTTCGTGGAAATGCTTTTACTACATTTAATTACGACTTACTTCCTTGGGACGAGTTGACTGTTCTGGACGTTAGGGACAATCCGTTGGCTTGCGACTGTAAGCTGTTGTGGCTGTGGAAATTATTAAGAAACAAAAATTTTTCCAGTGATGCTCCAAGTAATGTTGTGGAAGTCCACTGCACAAGCCCCCCTGGATTAAAAAATATGCTGCTTACAAAAGTTACGGAAGAAGATCTCGGGTGTTATATAGAAAATAGAAGACAACAAATGATTATCGGTATTATAGTAGCTGCTGCGATAGCAGTTGGTGGTCTTGTTTTGCTGGGTTTCCGTTACAGAGAGAAGCTTGCTGTGGCTCTTAAGAATAAGTGGACCTCTCGAAGAAAGGAACCTCAGTACCAGAAAACAACCTGCGTGGAAGACGAAAGTACAGTGCTACAAACAACAGCTCAGCAGTCGCTAAAAATGACACCAGTCACAGAACTGTAGACTCACTAACTGACAAGGACAAATAAAATCACTACTCTCATTCTAGATGTTCAGTATAAGTCATTGTAACTTTGTATCGGTTAAACTTGCACATCAGGTTATTGATGCCGCTTTATCTTCTATATTGTGATAACATTACTATCTTTCAAGTTAATGAACTTATGATTTCTCTGTTACAACTGGAAACATTCATATTTACGATGTGAAGGACAGTATTATAACCTGTGCTGTAGATGTTGGATTAGGACAAAACGGTTTTTGTAATGTGAAACAAACAAATGAAAATATTGTGTTTGGCTTGTGAAAAAGATCTCAAATCTGAAGTTAAAAGTCCCGAATAAAAATGATTCTTGAACATTAACGCATCTATATATTATAAACCAGAGTGTATACGAATAGTTAAAAGGAGATATTAATATTTAAATTAATTACTCGAATTATTCTCTGTGTTATATTGTAAACCAATCATGTATCGGTGTTATAAAAATGTGTTTAGACTTATAAATGGAAGAGCTCATAAAAAAAAAGTTTACGTTAAACTGGCACTGTGATGAGGCTATTCTGAGGTCTCTTTATTGTTCGATCTAAGTACATTTTGTCTCTGTTGATGTATATAAACATAAAACTGGTCACAATCTTAAGTATAGATTTGTATTACTGAAAGTATAATTATTGTGATATCTGTTGCTGTCATCTTTGTATTATGTATTGAAAATTATCGTTTAAACATTAGAAGCAGATTTAGCAACAATTTCAATTTATTTTGGGTAATCATAAGAATAATATTGCTAAAAAAATATGTTACTCTTTTTTAATATTTTGTCACCTAAACAAAATGTATAGTACTTCTGCTGTTCATGTTACGTAAATAAAATTATTACATGTTTTATCAAAGCAAGTTTTACGTTTAATGGATATGTTTTATTGAGTAATTATCTGTTTTCACCGAAAAGGCAACTTTTTTAGGTTGTAAAAATCTAAATGTTATTTTCCTACGATTTCAAAACTACATTTAAATGTTAATCATAAATAAACGTTACGTCATAGATGAACCTCTAGCAGAATTTAAAGTGTCAAATATATGGCTTATGAGCATCTTTTAACACTTTATTAACGTAGATGACGTGTTTTAAGGTATTGTCTTTAATAATTAAACTTATTTCATTCCCAAAAGTCAATTGTGATTGAATAATTCCCAGACTTTTTCAACAGATCTTTCTAAAACTTCTATAAGTTCTGCTAAAGCTATCTGATGTATTTATAGATTGTATAATGCTCTATAACCTCACTTCACATATCAAGTGAATTATCATGCAGTGCATAACTATAAATCTGTTGTTGACACTTCTGAGTATTCGCTAGTTATCACGTGAATATTCAGTTTTTTTCTTCTGTTTTATAGTGAAATGATAAAATTTAGGCATCTTAAGAACAAATTGGAATGTTTTTTCGGAACTTCTAAGCTACACATCTGGCATTATTAACTTAACGAGAACTTTTTTAGAACGAAAATAATGTATCCACTCTTTCAAATATTTAATAAAAACGGATCCGGGTTAATTATGGCTACATCAAACACTTATCTTGATCTACTTTATTAAATTGTTTGTAATAGAAATCTAACAACAACAACAAATACTTCCATAATATGAAACATAGGAAAGTCCTTAGTTTCAAAATGCATACTTGTGTGTATTCAGCAGCTAACTTTCCATTCTCCAGTTTGTTTTGTTGTTGCTAGTGTTGAAACTCCTATAATTCTACTCAAATTAAATCGGGAGTTGATTAAAATTTTAAAAACAAAATCATTTATTTAATTGTAGTGCAAAAACACACGATGGATGGTCTGTGTTTACCGCTACGGGTATCGAACCCTTATTTGTGAAGTTATGATCCCTCAAACTTACCGCTGAGCCACTGTTGCATTAAGAACACAATCTTTTTAGATGTTCTAGTCACTTAAGTTGCTTTATTTGCTTTAATTTGACAAATATCAACACACGACTCTGCTCATATTCTGTAACAAGAATGTTAAGGTTGTTTGAGCATATAAGACTAAATTAATAGTTATTTATTAACAGCTTAGATAGAATACATAAAACAATAATCAAGTTCATGATTTCATTAAAAAACATTAAAAAATAATGTAATTCAGTCTATGCTATATGCCCCCCAGTGGCACAGCGGCATATCCGCGGACTTATACCTCTAGAAACCGGATTTCGCTACCCGTGGTGGGCAAAGCATAGATTGCCTATCGTGTAACTTTGTGCTTAACTTCAAACAAACAAATCTATGCTATATATATATATAGTGGTTTCACGCAAACTTGTCTCAGCTTGAAGTAAATCATACATTTTATCATCCTTCAAGGTGTTTAGAATTTAAAGAAGGCATCTGGATGTTTAACTCATGTAGAGACAGACGTGTGGTAGTCGGCCATTAACAGCAGGCTTTTTCCAATACCAGTTAGAGGAATGTCGAACCACTTCCATATATAAATACAGATGTCATTAAGTTTGATGAGCAATGTAGACTGGTTGTTATTTGCTCCTTGCCATCACTTAAACCTAAAACATCTTATTAACGTAAAGATAAGGCTTACCTTATAGTTCCATTTATTGACAGAAGTACAGAACTCACACAGAAACTTACACAACAATTATTACCTAACAATTGCCAAATTAAATACCTAACTATTGGCTATTCTTGCAAGAGAACATTTGTTTAAATTGTAATAAAGTAACATAACCATTGAGGAGTTACACACTATATTATTCTCTAAATGCGAATTTAATTCATCTTTGTACAATTATTCTCCCATTGAACACGTGCTCACTGGTAATTTTAATTTCGTAACTAACGGAGATTTGTAACTATTAATGAGTAAGGGCCCTAAGTTCCTGGAATGACCTAAAATTTATTGGAAAAGCACCAAACAAGCAATTAATACACAGCTCAGAAAAATTTTACTCAAATGAAGTATAAAGGAGAGCTTAAACGTAATCATGTTTATAAAATGGGTAAACAGTGTTAAAAATATAATTCATAATCACATTACATTTTAAAATAAATACCCTATCAACAACAATGAACATGTTATGGGTAAGAAAGTAGTTACTAAGCAATTAAATTATTTACACAGTAAATATGTCGTCACTACCGCCAATAAAGCAGCTAATAACTTTGTTTTTATTTGTAAAAGTTTTATATTAGAACATTATGTAAAGAGCAAAGGCTCAATTTATAAGCATTAAAACCTTTCAGTAATGAGATGTATAAGCCCGTTAAAATAGATATAAAAAGTGTCATACATAATGAATAACCAGTGTAAGTGGAAAATTCTCAGAAGTCTCAACATTCAAGAAATTAGTGTTGACAACATGAGACTGAAGAGAATGCACGAACATGTCGAAACTAGTTTCTTCAGTTTCAAGACTTCTGTTCCATTGACTTCAATTTTTCACAAACTGCTACACACGATATTGTGTTCTTTTATTACTATCATAGATAAACATGTTACGGTTTTATCAGACTTTGGTGTTAATTTTATTAACTCTGAAAACATGATACCTAAATTATTCTGAATTCTCAAACTGTATGAAACACTATACAAATGCAGGTTTATTGCTAGGACTATACAATCTATGAGTAAGGATTTATCGATGCTAATAATCAATGGTCTGAAATACATTAAAGAACATTCAAAGAAATGCTGTAATATTATCAAAGAGAAAGCAGGTATTAATCCGTTTACTATCATCACTAATTCTATTAAATATAAAGATAAATTAAAATATTTAAAGCAAAAACAAGAGGAAAATTTTATTATAATAACTTTTACACTAGTCTGCATACAGAGAAAGGAAAAAAGTATTTCATCAAGAAATTCAAGGTATTTTAATTATTCTAATAAATTAATGCTTTTTTTCAGCAAACAATGTCATTCATCAAAAATACCCTTGTTGCACATTAAATGATTTCTTACAGGCCATGTATTTTTTTGCTTGTCACACATTTTTGCTACTTGGTCATATATCTTCCAACAAACACAAAGGATTTTTATCTGCAAGTTACAGATGTACCCTGCGTGGTCACAAGTAAATAGACACCTAAT